TAAGGAGATTAAGAAATATTCCGACGCACACTGTGGGTATGACATGTACCAATTATCCCCTGACGGTTATTGGAATGGCAGACATGCATCCATCTGTACACACTTTCTTATTAAGTGCGACAAGTGTGAGAAGACCAATGGCGATCACACTAAGTTTTGTGACAAAAAGCCCAACATTAAGTTGGAGTGAAGGTACAATACAACGACTCTTTAGATGAGCGTGTAATAATCCTTGTATATTGCAATGGAAATAAAATCCTTGCGTTGATTGACCCTGGTTCAGAAATTTTATGTATATCCGATCGCAAATAAATATAGACCGAAGTAGTGAGTGATTAGAGCGGAGCATATAGACAATAGTCTCATTCTAAAATCCCCTAATCTTTTGCTCACTACCAAGGGCTGAAGCTAAACTTTTTTTAACATTTTGCATTTTAACGTTTTAAAACGTCTTGGTATCGTAATAGTCAGCCTAGGGAAGACCGACTTTTACATATATATGTGTATATATAAATATTATTTGTGTATCAGAACCTTGACAATCAAAAGCCTACCCACAGACCCCCTGTCAGACCCCCTATAGAGATTAGGGGCCCTTCGGGCCAGCCGGCTTCCTTTTCCATTTCTTCATTTTCAAGAAAATGTGCCCTACAGGCACATTTCAAAAATCAAAATTGTGATTTGCCCTGAATCGCCTTTGACTGCAACTGTGCAACACTATTTATTTTAAAATATCTAGATTCCAGAGGGCCGTGCAAAATCATAGTCATGATGACTCGAGAGAGAGGCATAGGACAACCTTTCCAAGACATAGGTATTTTTATTTAATAAAAAACAAACAAATATTTTAAAAAAAGCAGTTGTACAGAATTCAAATGTTAAATGGCCGAATATTATGAATGGACAAATGGTAGTTTTTACTTACGTATGTACTCGATTTTGCTATTTGTAATTTAGAAAAACAAACAAATATCAAAACAATCAATATAGATGATTTTATCCACAGCTCTTTTCGTTTTCTTTATTTTAAAAAACAATCAATCAACTCGAAAAATCGGTGCCGTATAGAGATGTCTAATCTGAGTAATCGACTAATCGGAACTGTCGGATACACATTACCGGCACCCTGTCAGTCACTTATGTACTACACTACTACTTCAACCTTACTACTTCAACCTGGCCGGTTCGCCCCTTACTTCTTTTTGTTTTCTGTCCTGTAAAAAAATTGGAATTTTCAAAAACAAAATATCGAAAAGGAAGCTTTTTTTCCGGCCATTTTGGTGAGGTGACCATGACAATTGACAGCCCATGTGTTGGCCAATATTCTATTACCCCATGTGATTGTGGTGGCCAACATTTTATTGTTGACACTTGACAGTTGGCGGCCAAAATATTGAAATACTGTAAAGAAACGCTTCAACGAGTATCCACAGAGCTATACGCCATATACTTCTAAAAGAAACATATACGCAGAGATTGTCGACGAGAAAGCACTCTCTAAGGATACGATTGCAAAGTCTGAACATATTTATGTCGTGGGTTTGACACAGAGGGAACACTGACGTCACATAGGGTATTAGGGTTTCCTTCCTTTGGGTTCGTACTGAAGAAAGACTTCATGATTATACCATCGGTTCCTAATCAGATATTCTTTGCTTTCAACCCCTTTCTTCTGTCTGTCCTTGGTAACGCACCTGTATAGACAGCCTCCCATCATTTGTTCAAATACTTCCGTCCATCATCTAGTCATCTAGTATAACATCCACGATAGTTTCTTCCCTATCACAAGCACTATGCTTATCACTTTAACTCTATATCATCAGGTTCAATTCTTTATCTTGTATAGCTGCAGTAAACTTGTTCGTTTGTCTGTCTCCTAAGTTATGTCTCTTCGTCCGGCCACCACTCGAGTGCCTTGCCCTGTTCGACATGCTTATCACAACAGAAACTACCAAATACAAGTGCACACACATTCTACATATAGTATAGTAATAGTACGGCTACTTCTCATATTAGTGTTTTCTAGCTTTTTTTTTATTACATAAAACAAATACAGTTTAAACTTTTTTGTAAATGACGTATGTAAATATTGAGTATATTTATGTAAATACATAACAAGTACATAAATAATACAATATGTACTCCCCCAAAAAAGACTGTTTGATTCCAAAGTTCTATATTACATCCAAATCTAAACCCTAAAACCCTATTAAAAAAGCAATACATATTTACACAATGACAAAAGGAAAGACCCGGGGGGCGGGGCCCTGGGGCCTGGGCTAAAGGTATATTTAAAAAAAAGGGTTGTTGTGTTATTGTGTACAAATGTTTTATCCCACTCCTATGAATCCTCTGGCGTGCAGGGGTCCGCCCAGTCCATCCCCCCTTTGTGTACAATTTTTTTTATCCCCACTCCTGTGGATTCTCTCATTCTGTTTTGGGTCCATAGGGCCAGGGGTCAGGGTCCAGACTCCAGACTCCAGAGAGTCAGTGACCCGCCTCTCAGAGTCTCGGGAGAGAACCCCCAGTCCCCCACAAGGCACAGGGAGGAATGGACTGCGGTTGCTAGTGGGTCAGCCAACGGTTGCTGGGTTGCGCAATATTTGTTTATATCCGAGTTAAAAAAATATTAATTTATAGGACTCTAGAAAGGTTTGTATATACACATGAAAATATACTTTTAAAAACCCTATAAAATTTTATTATATTATAAATTTATAATGTATACACAATGTTTCGTTTTAATATTTTTTTGTTTTAAAATTAAATTAAAATATATAAATATCATAGCCCAAAACAAAAATTATCCTCTTGTTTACTTTTTCTGTTTTGTTTGAAAACTATGAGACGTATTCTAGTGAAACTTTTACATTTTTTAAACGAAAATAAAGAAGAAGAAAATCCTGAAGTCATTGTGTTTTCATTTTGTTGTGCAGTTTAAAAAGAAAGCTGCTCCGCTAAAAGCTCGAATGAATGCGGATTGCGGAACTGTGCAGTATGTGCTTTACTACTTTTCTGGTTTTTTTAAATGTTTTTTTTAGTAAAATACTGCATTTCTGCATTCATCCACACTACATACTGCCTACTCTGGTAGATTGGACATCGCCAATGGTTTACCACAAAATGTAAATTCCGGGAGGTTGTCGCCCGTTCCTCTGTGTGTGCCGAATCTGCTGAATGCCGCAGGGCGCAAACTGTCAAGGAAGTGCTGATTTCAGTATTATGTATATATTATGCAAACATCGGTAGCGGTTACCCAGATTGCTATTCAAGGCTAAAGCATACAACAAAATCAAACACTGAAACTTTAATGAACAGTATGGGGGTTCTGAAATATATTACACGTAGGTCTAAGAGACAAGATCGTCGCGCCTGTGTGTCGTTGTTATCAAGCGACAACGGCAGTATCTGGTCTTTGAATACAAGCTCGTGCCTGGTTCGTGAAAATTTGGGTGTTCAATTTACACCAATTATCGAGCCTAATAAGTGGGTGAATATCCATGAAAGAATTATGTCGCAAGAATTGAAAGTTTCAACACGGAAAACGAGCACATGTTCCTTGACACCGTCGCTGATTAGTATATCAGAGCTCAGTGAGTTGTAGTGCTGGGAGGAGCTGACTGGAGTACTGTACATCTGCCACCAGTTTCCATTTCTGGAGCCGTCAAGCTCGACAGCAATTGCATTGTGGAATGCTCAACCACGGTAGCAGGACAAATATCGTACGCAAAGCATGTTGTCGTGGTTCACCATGGGTAACACAGACATCCAAGCAGACATCAACACTTTGCACCTTGAATATTTCCCTCAATTTTGGACAATGATCGACGTTGAATTCGATGCAAGGCGCGTCACCACTTTAGAAGCAACTCGAAGAATATGCTGGTCATATCTAAGTCTTGTGTTTGCCTGGGGGGATTAATTTGAGCATCGACCTGAGAGAGTGTTTTTGAATATCGAAACATACTTCTTGACATCGAGCTATTGAAAGACGTCTTCACTCACAATATCTTAAGCACAGCCCGAACGACTGCGTATCCAGCAAGGTGTTCAGATCCAACGATCACGGAAACGTGTGCTGAGTACTCGAAATAAAAATTACGTTTGGAGCACCTTGTAAGACTATGATCGATATGTCTCGAGGCAGCGTCGGGTTGTTTCGGGTGCGTGCTAAAAAGTTTCAAATGCGCGTTTGAATAAGTTTAAAGTCATTACCTCCAATTTTAGCCAGAATGATAACAAAAAGAAATAGTCGCCAAAGAAAGAATGTGGGAAATATACGTTGGATTTGCAAAGTCGAGTCCTGACAGGGAGACGCTCACCCAGGTTGACCCTTTCCCGAGATGCAATCGCTACCCGTTAGATTAGCTTGAACAGGGTTACGATATGTACCTTGGACCGACGGCTGGGGATCAAACAATTTACTCTGCTGCCTACGCTGTAAATGTTTAATAAATTTTTCAAGTTGCCACTGCAATGCTCTATTGAGGCTGTGCATACAATATCAAATCGGGTACTTATGTGTTAAATGAAATGTCATTTTCATGTACAATTTAAACTAACCAAGGGAGACCCACGTCGATAGTTAAGGAAACGAATACAGAAATTGAACAACACGTTTACACTATTAGAGTATGACACGTCCTAGAGGGTAAGCCAAGATCGATTCCCTGAAAGGCGATTCCAACATAGACTCCCCAACCCTCGTTGGATCAAACTCACGGAACGTGTCGCTACTGGAGCATACGATTCCAGCCAAAGACAAAGAGGCCATTTTATTCAAGTACTACCACACATACATGTAAACACAACCAGCACGCTAAAAATGTACGTTAACACTCGAAACCATCAAAAGCACACATTTATACAAGAGGGTAAAGGGCAGTTGCTAGCAGGTCATCAGCCACAATCAGCAAATCTCATACATATGCGGTTTCACTAGTAGCCGAACACCTAAATACGAGATTTGATGGATCTTGCTGCCTAAAAAAGTATATAAAGTGGACATTTAATTCTTTCTGGCCGTATATTACTTCGAAACCGCTAATCATATACGCCCATAGACATATTTCATCATCCTGCTCCGTGTCTACCCCGTGCAGATGCTTGAACATTTCGTCGGCGACCTCCGTGTTGCTATCTCGCACAGCCAGTGTAAACCTATACATTCTCCAGACACTGAACTGATTGGCGATTCCATCAAGGCGAATGTCTGCGGCCCCTTCAAGCAAACACCGAAATGCATCCGAATTTTAAGCAGGCATCGATCTGCGCATCAAACTTCCACGACGCACACTCGCATTGGGGCTTGAGTTTTTGGCATCTCCGAAAATCGAATACCGGCTCCATGAAGTCTACTCGTAGCCTCATACTGCGTCGCTGATTGCTGTAAGGGTATAATTCGTACCTATGTCTCACAAACGGCAAGTACGGCATACATAACAGAGCGAGCATTCTGCACGAATACAATTGGTCTCGAGAAATTGGAAGCTGTATTGTATTGGAGAACCCTGCGTATCGTCGTTGTAGGTGGAAGATAGAGTCGTCCACTAAATCTTTCGCACAGGCTTCTGGATACGAGGTGAAGTCATTGCAAGTGATATGACTTGTGTCATTATACCATGTGAAGAGGATGCCTGCACACGGGCTTCAAGCTAAGTATGTGTATGTATATCTAACTAAGTATTTACCGTCTTGCAACACGCACGCATGCACCTAAATTGCAGTGGTACGTGTGTATCCACGCAAGCATTTTGCTGCGTCTCTACCCCTATGTCGCGTTGGCCTTGATAGAGATGGTCTGAATGAAGCCATCGAGTGATTGTAACAGATGTCTGCGGACTTCTATCTGCTGTGCCAATTCCACACGTTCACTAGAGATCAGTTCCTTCTTTGACGCTTCGCTTTCGGAAAGAACATCGAGATGCTGCTTAACTTCGGCTTCTAATTTGGCTGTGCACGTACATATCCAAGGGCAAACATTGATAAACATAGTGCGTACTTGGTGTCGAAATAGAGCAGGCGTGATAGAGTGTGCAATGTGAGATTATAGTGCAACTTCGCACATTCGACGTCGGCTTACTGTTTAGTTGTCAGCCACATGTCTATGAATCTCGTGATAATGGATGAGATAGAAATCGATAAACGATACTCTTATCTATTATATAAAGCTTTATAACAGATTGATTCATGCCATAGGGAACGAGTTATAACACTAGATATACGCGCGCACATAGAAATTAGATTGTATTTGGATACACAAACAAACGCAATTCCAACCAAAAGCTTCAGCGTTACTGACACACTCAGATTAATAGCTTCTCAGATACATGCCACGTATTTTTTCCAATGGGAAACTAATATATATATATATATATATATATATATGTTGTGTGTGTATATATATATATATATATATATATATATATATATATA